CAGGAGACATTTCTTTACATAATTCATACAGAATAAAGAAACATAACTGTAAGTGAAGAGACTTGTGTAGATATCTTCTTTTTTTCCTACCTAATGTAACCCACAGTTTAATGAAAATGGTCCTCACAGAACAAAACAGGAAAAAGTTTATTTGAAAGCACTTCTGAGCAGACTGAAAATTACAATACTTCCCATTTTCCAGGTCATTCTAATAAGTGGGATATTTTCCTAATCGCAGCTGTCATTTTCTTAACTGTATTAGATTATGTCAAAAAATGCCTCTGCTGTGTGCATTGATGATGGGACTTTGCTTTCCCGTGTGCTGCGAGTCATGGTGAAGTCTCTGTTGCAGGTCATCCTGAGCCCGCTGAAGCAGAGGATGTCACTAACGAAGGGAGCACTGAGCATCTCTGTTATCTGGCTGATGGCAACCTGTTTCTCCCTACCCCATGCCATCTATCAAAAGCTTTTCCAGTACAACTACAGGTGAGGTGTTTCCCCTTCCAAGCGAGCACAGAGAGGCCCGATAGCCCTCTGTGGCGAGAGCTGCTGGAAGGACTCCCAGGCTTGGAGGAGGACGTAGTGGAACTGGTGGGAGTTTGTGTGTGGATGAAGTCTCGCTTCCCACAGCAGAGGCTTGGCCAGGCTCACCGCAGGGCACACACGTCCGCAAGACTTGCATTTGCTTTCGCCATCTCCCAAACGCCTGGACGAGGGGTGAATCTCCCCCCATCCTCATGCTGGGGGCAGGCTGCAGGCGCAGCCTGGCTGGGGCACAGCAGGTCAGTGAGAGAAACCTTCCCCAGTGCCACGATACCATCAGGAGGGACCTTGTCCTGAGAAGGCCATTTTCTCCCGAGGGCCTTTCCTTTTCCCTCCTCACACTCACTCAGCTCCTTAGACCTAAGACCATGTCTAGCCAACTTGCTCAGGCAAGGAGGAAAGGGAAAGCCAAAGCTACAGTTTGAAAAAGAAAGAAAAGAAAGCTTATGGTGTGAACATCTGATACTGATGTTAGCAAGACTACACAGAAAGAACAGGGAGGAGAGGAGCGTGTTTGTGAGTCAGCAGGGCCGTGAACCCACATCTCCAGGACTTCATATGCTGATTCACACATTTTAGCTTCCTTGCATGTCATCCATCTGGATTTATGACACAAGACCAGCCTTTCTTAAAGCTTGAGGCTCCTCTGCCCAGCATTACATAAACAAGAAATGCAGAAGAGAAGCCTCCACCTCTTCCTTTGCAGTAAAAGCTGGTGAGAGGAACAGTGCTTTGACTGGGGAACGAGGGTGTCTTGGTGGGCAGCTTTGTCTTGCCCAGCTGGGAAGGGAGCTCTTGGCTGAACACAACAACAGAAGCTGTTAAAAGGACATTAAATGGAATTTCATGTCCACTTGAGGACTGCTGAAGTAGCAGAAGAAAGTGAAGCTTCTGATCTAGAAGGGAAAAAAAAAAAAGAACAACAAAAAAATCCTTGTCTTCCCCTACTTCCATCTGATCTAGTGGTGCCATTCACCCTCTCTACCACCCTCTCTACCAGGGAGAAATGAAGAACCAGAAGTTTTGGGTTGGTTTGCCCTTGCAGTCTTTTATTTCTCCGTGGTGCCCAGCCTGTCCTGGCTCTCTTGTCCCCACCAGCTGGTGGCATTGCTATGACTCATGCTGGCTAGAAAACAGGCCATGGTGCTACACAAACACGTTTTTGGTGGTGGTGTGTCATGCTGCTGGTGCCTGCATTTCACAGGAATGCTGAACTTGGGGCCAAGGGGATAATCTTACACTAATCAGTATCTTCAACTTGAGAGGAATGTCCCAGAGAGCAGGGTGAGGGGCTAGTAATAGGCAGCGTAGAAAGATTTCTTTTGTAGATACTGAGCTTCTCTATAAAGGACAAGTATTTTTCTTCCTACAGCATAGCCACTTCCCTCCTGCTAGCATGGCAGGGAGAGGGTTTAACTGCCTGTGCAGGCCTTTTATTGCTGCTTGTATATGAGAGGTTACACAGAATGGGAGTGCACTCTGGGGCTTCACAGCTCTTGTACTTGTGATTGGTTTGACTGAGATACCTCTGTGGTGGATATAATATCTTCAACTGCTTCAACTTGGTAAACAACATGCTGGGTTACTCCTGCGCTCGCATTGCCTTGCAGCTGTGTGCAGGGTATTACTGAACAAATTGCTCATGAATGAACAAACCCGCTATCTGTTTCGGGGCAGCTGTCTCTGTTTATCTGTTAGCACAGCCAGAGGAAACCCAGCCTCACATCGGCATGAGGCAGCCTGGCAATATACGGACTTCCAGGATGTGCTATTCTCATCCCTGCTTTCCATTGAATAAAAATCGCAGTTGTAATATTGCTTGTAATATCCCCTGCAGGGCCTGGGGCTCTTGAAAAGCCCCAGCAGGGAGCTATTTGGGATCTGGGGACAGGAGAACATGGGCTCCGCCACCATCCAACCCTCTGGCTGCAGTGCACAGCAATGTGGCCAAGTCCATGGTCGCACCAGAATTTACCAAAACACAGTGTCCTGTCTGGTTTTGCCCTCAACCAACCTCTTCCCTGAAATAATTGTGAGCCTCTGCTACAGCTCGGCGCCCCTCCTTTGGAAGGTGAGAGGGACGGGGGGCAGCGAGGGCAGGGGTTGGATTTCAGTAACCTATGGTCTCACACTGCTGTCCGCTCTGTTCAAACACACTGTTTAAGCTCCGCAAGCACCAAAGTGTCACCTTCACTAGCCCCCAGCTGCACTCTAGCACCGATGGCCGCAGCCCGAACACTGACCCCAGCTCAAGGCACTCCTCAAATAGCTGATTCCCAGGGTGGGCAGTGAGGGGTGACCGCCCCACTCCCACACCCTTGCTTCTGCCCATTCCCTTCAGTTTAGCTCTTCGGCCGTGGCGGGTCTGGCCCTGTGCTGGGGTGTCATCTCGGGTGCTGTGCTGGCTTCTCCTGCCAGATCTCCAGCTGCCCTGGCCTGTTGCCTTTGGCAGGCAGAGTTGCCTGCAGGCAGGGGCTGGGTTCGCCTGTGCCAGCAGTGTGCCAGGATCCCCACTGGATCCTGGGGAGGAAAAGGTCGGGAATGTGGTTCAAAAAGGCCGATTTTCACTTCTATGTCAGTTCACCTCTCAAGCAGCATCTCCAGGGTCATCCGTGGCTGTGGAGCTCTGCTGCTGTGCCTGTTGCCATTCATCCAACAGCCACACGCAGGCCCTGCTCACAGCCGCCCATTTTCAAGCAATCTTCTATTTGTGGCACAAAAGCCATCTCCAGAGGTTGAAAGCAGGATATTAAAGATATTAATCAATACTGCAACGACTAGTGCGGCTTGAAATGGGGACTGAAGTGTGTGCTGAATAGAAGTGGGCAGAGGACAAGGGTTGAAGTGAGAAGATCAAAATGGAATAAGAGAAAGAGGGGGAAAAAGGGAAAGAAAAAGAGAAAACATCCGCTGGAAATAAATGCGTGAGTGCTCCTTTCTCCTAGTGTTTCATCACTTCCAGTCATCTGCTGTGGGATGCGGAGGGGATGCATGGTGCTCTGCGGAGAGTGCTGAGGTGTGTCAGCTGAGAGCTGCTGCCAGCCAGAAAATGTCAACAGAGCCTGGATCCGCTGGGTTGTGTGTGACAGGTTGCTGAAGTGCTGTTAAAATGAGCTATCACATATAGTTAAGCTCAGTTCTTTTGTTAGTTAGCCATCAGAAGTTAAACAGTCAGGATTAAGTTAAACTTGAGTTAAGCATCCAGGTTTTCTAATAACCAAGGCTGTTTTAAGATGCAGCAATGACATTTTAACAGCTGGTCCCCTGAAAAGCTGATGGGAACGGGATGGTCAGTACGGGAAGAAGAGTGCTGCCTGTGTAGGTGGGGTCATGCCCATGAGGCTTTCGCACAGCCCCCAGCCTCCAGCAGACCCTTTCCTTCCACCCGTCATGGCTGTGACTCCCCAGCTGCCTCAGCAGCTTTTGCTGTGGCCAAGGGGGTCTTGTGCCGGCTGGGGGGCACAGGAAGGCGGGTGGGCCCGTATAGGGCACGGACTGCAGATCCAACCTGACAAAGGCAAGTTGGACCTGTTGCAAGAGTGCTGCAGCGGTGATCCCAGCATGCGCTATGACTCTGCCGTGTCCCGGGAAGATCAGGTTGGTTGTGCCTGGCCAGACCACAGTCGCCCAGCCCACATGCATGAAAGAGGAGCAACATGCCTGGGCTGGATTTCTGGGTGGGCACATTGAGGGAATCCTGGGCATAGTGTGTCCTTTTTCCAGGCATGTAGGAATTGCCCATGGGACTGGAGACAAGCAGGAATTAGGTGGGTCTCACCCACTGCCCTCTTTCCTCCTACACTCGGTTTTTGGGGAAGAGGAGACCCGTGTCTCAGTGCCATGCACCCAGGGAAGGAGCTGATGCAGCCAGGTCAGTGATTCTTTCTCAGTAGCCGCTTTTCTAAGAATGGGCCATCAGAGGTGACTTTTGCCATGTTAAGAGGACACAGGGACTCATTCAGTTAAAATCAACTGCAGATTCTAAGAGGAAACTCCAGTTTGTCTTTCTAAGACTTTCTTTTATTGGACAACATAACAAGTTAAGGGGAAAGGAGGTAAGAATATACAGTAGCCAGTCCTATCCTCAGTGAGACAGACACGGAGAACATCATGAGAAGACTTCCTGGGAAACAGAGGTTTGACTGAGCTTTGCTTTGTTGACCTGAGCAATACCTCCTCAGTCCATGTGGCAAACCCGAGGAGGTGGTTTTGGGTGGTGTGGAAGCCCCACTGTGGTTTGCCAAATTGGCAGCATCTGTTTTGCAAAGCAATGGCCACGTGCTATATATGCATTTCTTTGTTTTCCAGAGAAGCCACTGTCCGGAGTTTGTGCCTCCCTGATTTTCCTGAGCCCACAGAGCTGGTCTGGAAGTATCTGGACCTGTCTACCTTTCTCCTTCTCTACCTCCTGCCTCTGCTAATTATCACTGTCACCTACACGCGCCTGGCCAAGAAGCTGTGGCTCCGCAACGCCATCGGAGACATCACCACACAGCAGTATATTGCCCACCACAAGAACAAGAAGAAGAGCATCAAGATGCTGATGCTGGTGGTGGTGGTCTTTGCTGTCTGCTGGTTCCCTCTCAACTGCTACGTGGTGCTCATCTCCAGTCTAGGCATCAAGACAAAGAACTCCCTCTATTTTGCGCTGCACTGGTTCGCCATGAGCAGCACCTGCTACAACCCTTTCATCTACTGCTGGCTGAATGAGAGCTTCCGCTCAGAGCTCAAGTCCCTGCTCTGCATGTGCCAGAAGGTGCCTCGGACTCAGGACAACGTGCTGCCACCTATGGTCACGTCCTGCCACGAGGCATGGATGGAACAGGCCAGGTACAGGAAGGGACCTGCCTCGCAGACTGTGTGCTCCGCTGTGAACATCCAGATGGCCATCACAGACCTGTGAGCTGGCGGGCTGAGGTGAGTTAACTGGATTCGGTGGACATCGAAGGGCATCTCATAATTTCTCCTCAGGAATCGATCAATGTTGCTGCTCTGCTGTTTTACTACTGACTTTTGACTTGTATCACAGTAGCACCACCTTTACTCGGTGCGGTGGGAGCAGAGGCTCTCACGCACCCTCCCTATGAGCCCACAGCCGCAGCTGGTCCAAGGAGCAGGTATATGTGCAAGGGACATGGAGGGCCACAGACAGGGGGTTTTGCTCTTGGGGGTTTCCGATTTTATTACTGGCAGAGGGAGTGGGACCTGGGTTTCTGCCATTGCGCGTGCTGTCCCAAGTTGCTGGCCTGTCTTAGTGCTCCTAACACATGCCACAACACGGAGGCTTTGCAGAGCAGCAGAAACGGACCCGTTCTGACATGTGTTTGAAGGAAAGACTTGGACATCCAGGTTGACTCCATCCATATGGAGTATCACCCCATAATTTATACCAAAGCCTCCCAGCAGAGGTAAGGGTCAGTCAATAGCAATTTCCCCTTCAGCTGGTGCTTCTCCTCCTTCGCTCACTCCCTGGCTCTGTCTCACCCCTCCTTCCACTGCTTCTGGAGCTGCAGAGCCAGCCGCTCCAAACCAGCCCTGGCTGAGCAAGGAGCAGGCATCCACGCCAGGCACTGGTGGTGATACCTCCAACAGCACTTGGGTGGACAATTTTAGTCCACTGAGAATTTATTTTTGGTTTTATTATAAATATATTTATTTAGGAAATAAGCCTACACTGGCACTAAACAAAAGGCCACAAAATATTTCATCAGGATTGTACCATTCACTAACTGAAGAATGAACTCATTCTCTATAATTACTAATTGCTATAGAAGAGTTTCGTTTAAAACTATGGAACTGAGTCTGACTAAGGGAGTAGATTTTGTTTACAGTCCTGGGAAAAAAAGGTTTAATTTAGCTACACTTGAGAGGCAGGTGAAAAAAGAGATGCAGAACAAAGGAAAGATTTAGTACATGAGAGAGAGAAAAAAAAAAAGAAAAAGACAAGGAAAAGAGACATTAAAGGAGAAAGAAACCTGAACTGCTATGTGATTTCACAAGCAGCATGGAGCAGTGGCTGGGCACTGGGGAGCAGGAACTGGAAGGACCTCCTGGTCTGGCCAGCAATGTCCCTTTCTCCATCATACCATCCCTATTAAAAATTGCACCAAGACTAGAGAGGCCAGACTTCTCCTCTCAGCTTCCTTGGTTGAGCCTGAGGAAGGCAATTCTCTTACTTGGAGAAGACAAACAAAAGGTCGGAAAGTATTTATTACTTACTTATCCATCCAGACTTTTGGTTGAGCAGTCGTAAGTCCTTTGCAGGAACAAAGCTATGTGTGTTTTGAGCCCTGACAGTTCCTGGGTGATCCTTCAAAACCCATTTTGTGCTGGAGACTGGTGTGTGCTGCAATGGTGACTGAGGGGCTGTGGTACAGACCAGCCAGGGTGGTTGGTCCTCAGACAGGAAATTCCTAGGGAAACACTGTACTTGCAGCAAAAAAAAAACCCAAACAAACTGCTTTGGATAAAAAGCATTCAGCGTTGGTGCGGCTTCACCTCGAGCACTGTGTGCAGTTCTGGGCCCCACCATTTAAGAGGGACGTGAAAGTCCCTGGACACATCCAGAGGAGGACAAAAAAATCTGGTGAAAGGGCCGGAAGGAACGTCCTATGAGGAGCTGCTGAGGACTCTGGACTTGTCTAGTTGGTGAAAACCAGGTGATAGTTTTGGGTAGTTCAAAGGCAGACACAGCTGCTCAGGGCCAGGGATGCTCCTGGTCTGCCCTGGCGACAGCCTGGACTGAGCTTCTGCCTGGGGAGAAGGTGGGGGATGTGAGCTGCTGACAAGGACGAGGACATGCTCCCACCACCTTCTAGCAGGAGGGTAAGACAGACCAAATAAGAGAAACTAAGGACTGATTTTTTTTCCCCATTTGCGCAGTGAGAAGAAACAGGAGAGAAAGGAGGGGAGGTCTTCACTTCCAGGCCACTCAACCATGTCCCTGCACCTCGCAACACCTGCACAAGGGGAAGACAGCAGAGCATCATGCACAGCAGCAGAAATGGATGAATACATGATCCCTGAGGCATTTGGAAGCTAAAAATTTTTTGAATATGGGAATTTAAAGCAGACTGCTGCTGGGTGCAGGCGCTGTCCTCTCTCTGTGTAGAGCAGCGTCTGTTTTCAGTTGAAAAATATCATTGTGAGTTATTCGAAATGTTAAAAGTGTCTCTAATTAATGAGCATCACCTCATTTAATTATTAAGATAAGCTGTCTTTTGCCTTTTTACTGTTCCTCACTCCTCATCAACTTTTAGCGAACGACCCACAAACTACCATGTATTCCACTTCATTAAAATATTGTTTCTTCCCTGTGGAAAGGTGGGTGTCAGAATGGAATTTTTGGTTTCCACTACAGAAATGTAGCACCCTATTTCCACTCACATATCTTCAGAAGTTTAAGAGACTTTTCCCCAAAGATTGCAAAAACCAGCATCCTTCATCCTTTGGTTGCTGTAGCACAAGTTTTTAGCGCAAGCTGAGGGTGTAATTGAGACACAGTTATAAGGTGTGGTGGCCAGGCTTCTCCCAGCGACTGGAAAGTTTCCAAGAGTGGAAACGAGAGCAATGGCAGCCTTGGGGCAAACCAGGTTCGGCCACAAAAAGCCTGGGAGGTGCCATGTGGTATGGCACAGGAAGGAAAAAGTCCCAGGAGGTCCTACTTTAAAAAGACTAACTGGGAAAAGCCCCCCCCCTCCTCAGAGTCCAGGGCAGGGATGAAAAATCAGCAGAAAAAGAGTTCAGCAAAGGTTGGGTAAAGTGTGGAGTCAGCCAGGACCTGGCCTGGGGGCAGGGGGGGACAGCCCTGTGGCACTGAGACCCCTGCTTGGTGCTTGCTCTGCATCTGGAGAGGTTGATCTGGGCTATCGAATTTCCCCAACATGGTCTCACAGGGCCCCTTCAGAAAACAACGTTTAAACTCACTGTCTGCCAGTAGGTAACAGAATTTGTGCCAAGGAATAAGTGAAAAAGGAGTACCTCTCTCTGCAGTGCCGATGCAACAGTGCTAAGTGAGCCGTGATAGCAACACCTGGCAGTTAACAAGGCAGATGCCGAGCTTGGTTAGTTGTCATTCATGGGCTCTTTTGCTGTTCACATAATTTAGTTGATTCAGAGAGATATTCACAAAAACCACCAATGGTGTCACATGGAAACCATGCAGAGTTTAACAAACTCACCTAAAATTTCATCCTTTATTTGCTATGTTTTATTGCTTGGGACAAAACTTCCCAGGGCTCTACGAATAACACTTGCAAAGCAAATGTCTCATAAAGAAACAATAGAAGATGGAAAATCACATCCTGTCGCCGAAAGCTCCCTGTAACAGCTTGGGGAGCTGTGCATGACCCACTATTGTGGACTTCCAGCCCCCTGTGCAGCCCTGTGCACAGTGTGTTGATCTCAGCTTGCCTTTCCGTAGGCTGCTCTATGATGCACTGTGCACACAAAATTCACACAGTTTCTAAAGAGGTATTTCTTTCTGTGTTCCCTTTCAATGTATCTATTGTATCTTGGACTTCTATGAAATAACCATAGCAACAATACTAACACTAATATCTTCTATGAGAAATATTAAGCTATGGTTCTTGCTGTGATTCTGAAATTAAATCTACCTCACTGCTGGCAAATTCTGGGGTATGAGCCAAGCCAGGGATTAAATCCCAACCCCAGGGCTGTTTTACAGTGCAAGACAGATAGAAATTTTCGGTAGTTTAAGATGTTTGTCCAAGAATGCTGGTACAGACTGGCTGCTGGTTTCCTCAGAAACAGCCAAGTTTCAGGGCAGCAGCAAGCCAACCTTGGAGTCATACCTGCCCATCACCCCTTCGATAGGAGAGCTGTTCTGGGAGCCCCTGCCACATTGAAATCTCTTAATCTCATGTTATCTTTAATATTTCTTAGGTTGCTTTCTTGTCCTTCCTTTCCTTCTTTAAACAGCTGCATAATCTTTTTCTGGAGGAATTAAAGGCCTCATTCCAAAGAAGTAGGTCTCTCTTCATACTCCCTTGATCTTCTGCTAGTCCGTGCAGTTAGCTATCATCTCTTTCTGTGAAAAATAACCTAGCTGGTGTTCCTTGGATCTGTCAATCGTATCATCTCTTCATCGCTAAATTTTTCTCCCCTAAATGGGCATGATGCAAGAGCTGACTGTATTGCATCTTTGTAATGGCTTAGCTATCTAGACTGGTAATTATCAATGCCTGAACAAGATTCTAAGCCTTGCACGCTTTGCCCATTGCCTTGAGGCTCTTGTATCACTTGAGGATGTCCTGACTGACAAAGCAGCACTCTCTCAGCAATATTCAGGCAAACGTAAGAGAGCATCTGGAGACCGCATCTGGAATAGTGTGTCCAGTTCTGGGCCCTTCAGTTCAAGAGGGACAGGGAACTGCTGGAAAGAGTCCAGTGCAGATCCACAAAGATGATGAAGGGGGTGGAACATCTCCTTTATGATGAAAGGCTGAGGGAGCTGGGTCTCTTTAGCTTGGAGAAGAGGAGACTGAGGGGTGACCTCATCAATGTTTATAAATATGTAAAGGGCCAGTGTCAGGAGGATGGAGCCGGGCTCTTCTTGGTGATAGCCAATGACAGGACAAGGGGCAACAGGTGCAAGCTGGAGTGTAGGAAGTTCCACATTAACATAAGGAAAAACTTTTTCACTGTGAGGGTGACAGAGCACTGGAACAGGCTGCCCAGAGAGGTTGTGGAGACTCCTTCTCTGGAGACATTCAAAATCCGCCTGAACATGTTCCTGTGTGACCTACTCTAGGTGGTCCTGCTCTGGCAGGGGGCTTGGACTAGATGATCTTTCGAGGTCCCTTCCAACCCCTAACAGTCTGTGATTCTGTGATAACGTAAAAAAAAAAAAAATGTAAACTGAGTTATGTTGTTGGATTTGGA